TGTAAGATTACTTGGTCCTACCTCAGCATGGAGGGGATGGATCAGAATGACCTCTTGAGATCCCTTCCAGCCCAAAATTTCTACGATTCTGATCATTTTGATGCGTTTCCAGGCCTTTATTATTGAACTAAATGTATTTAATGTGTGTAAATGTATTTAATTCTATTTTTAGTTACTGTATATTACACATTTTCACTATAACTGAAGTCATTCTATTGTTGAGTGTTGATCTGTAATATCAGGAAGGTCAGAAGAGTGAGAAAAATAACAGCTTAAACCACTGGCTCTTACTGAGAAGTCAAACAGTGTCAAACAAAAGAAGCGGTTCTTTAGATATTTAGGTGCTAAAAAGGGGTCTGGGAAATCTCCTTAACCGGAGAGCCTTAACTGGAGAACGGTTTTCATGCTTGTAAATCTCAAAAATGGTTACATGGATTTTTAACTACTTTAAAAAAATCACCATGGGCTGATGATAAACCTGAGACATTTTACCTGAGTCTTTTTTTATTTTTCCAAAAAGTTGCAAGATGTTTGAAAACATTGGGGCCAATCATTAAAGTGTCTCTTCAAATAGAACCTCACTACCGCAACGCTGTCGTTACCATGCAACTTTGCCTTTATGATTAAAGACTGGGTTAGTGCATTTAGTTCTTTGGTGCAGTTACTTGTACTTACCTGGGGAAAACACTCTGCAACTCCTCAGCCTGAGACCGCACCCCGCATCGCTCTGAGAAATAGTACTTAAAACACATGCAGTACATGCACATGGGCAAAGTTCATTGCCTTCAGTGGCATCATGCCTGCTGCGTCTGCCAGTGGTATAGGTGGCATACGATGTATCTCCCATACATAATACACAACACACAATGTTCTATTGCTGAGTACATTCCATGAGGCTACTTTGGGATTTGAAATGATTCTCTCTCAAAAGGAACTAAATCCCTTATAATCTTCCACTCTGTGCAAATAAAGCAGAACCCTCCAGCCCTAGCTGAGAGTGAAGTATACATTCCTCTCTCTGCTTTTGCATTTCAATACATGCAGCATATACAGGATTTAGTGGGAAGCAGATGCAGAGGGAAATAGAAGCTTAGCATCCATATGCAATTATTAGAGACTATAAACAGTCCTTTGCTCATAATGTGAAGTGCCTTTTCTACATGGCAGTAAGCAGAGTTAAGAATTGCAGAGGGTGACAAGCCAGGTCTCTAGATGTGGCCTTGGAATCTGAAAACACCATCTGCTTTGCAAAGGTTGACAGTCAGAGCCTGGTTAAACTCCACATCTCCTTGTTATGAAGGGCTTGATAACTTGCGACTTGCCCTCAGTCCATTACCTTCTGCTTACTAACGCTCAGAGCACAGCCTATCTCCCTGCAGAGCACTCCAGCAGCTGGGCTATGTTATATGCTGTCTCTGTCTCACTCGGCATTAGATAATACAGTAAGGAGAGCCTTCCATCTCAATCACTGAAACGCAAACAACCATTTCTGTTGTTTCAGCAAAGAGGCCAACACTGACATTCTGGCTCAGAAACACACATTCAGATACATTTTTGGCTGTCAGTGTGGTTATTTTGATGAGGTTTTGTTTTACATGTGGCTTAGATGAAAGACAATTAAGACTTCACATTTAATTGGTACTGGATGCATTTTAAATAGCATTAATGGACTTTCTCAACAAGAACTACACATTTTGATTTCTCAAAGTAACAACCCTGACAGAGAGAAGGACAGAGAGGTACAGCTGAAGGACCAGCTGATACGTGAGACCCTACGTTTCTCAAAGTAACAACTGGCAGAGAGGAGGGCAGAGCGTACAGCTGAAGGACCAGCTGATACGTGAGATCCTACGTTTAGACGCTAGAAAGGCTGTTTCAAAGTCAAGCGTGGAGGGGCTGAGTCAGCACTACTGACAAAGTTACATTTAGGCTTAAATCCAACTCAAGAAAAACATTTCTGCTGCACTGAAACCCCTCACAGTTCAACAGAAGAATGTCTGGAATCATGTGATGAAAGTATCACTAAATATAAAGCTGCTATAAGATTAAGAACAGTACTGAGAAGAACTTTCTAATCCAAACTTGCCTCATGGGGTTTTGAGCTGGCAAAATGGTGAGAGCATTAAGAACCTAAGTGAGTTTGTGTCAGGTCTGCAGAAGAGAGAGCAAGCGCACGTACACATGCCAATGGTGCATGGGTTCCTTCAGGGCCGAGGCTAACCAGCCACAGTTAAAAGTTTTGCTTGCAGAGAATTGGTAAACCTGTCTCTTTGCAACATTTCTGTGCCAAGAGGGTTGTTTCATGGCTCTGACAAACAGCATCAGAATGTCTCTAAGGCACAGGCAAGTAAGAAGAAATGTCGTTCCGTTTCAGACCTGAGGTCTCCCCCCCAAGCCTACAGGGGACTCACTCTGCCCCACTGCATGTGTCACACTGGATGAGAGGGGATGCCCCCCAGTCCCCAACTGCCAACAGAGCCCAAGGCATATGCTCCCTCTGCTCATGTCCAGCAGAGCCCACAGCCGCACACCCACCAGAACCACAGAAGCACTTCCATCCCAGTAGCTGGCAGAGTGCATGCCCCAAACCCCAGCAGAGCCCTGGGCGCATGCGCCACACTCTGGTCCAGCAGAGCCCAGAACATGCCTCTCCTGCCCTGTTGTCTGCCAGCAGAACCCAGAGAGCAGTTCTCATGCCCACCCGCAGAAAAGACATCTCCCAGCACCTGCCAGAAACATGGGGAACGTAATTAGCTCTTTGCTAAATTTATTTGCATTTGTATTTTGCTAAATCCCTTATACAAGATCAGACTCAAAGCATCATCCTTTCCAACCCTCCTGGCCATCAGATCCCCTGTCATACTAACAGAAATGTTATCAATGCTCAGTACTGGCTCTTTAAAGGTCAACACCCCAAAGGGGTTCTTGCATCATAAACCCATTTGGCCTTACACATTTGCCATAATTTGAGTAAAGAAAAAGGAAACTCGACGCACTAATTAGAAAGCTGGGGCTGTTGTGTTTTCTCCAGTTCACCTTATCTTCTTTATTCAGCTCTTGAAGACTCAGCTATTAAAGGAAATTAAGTAATTCATCAAGCCCATTTCAATTACCTGCCACGGATAACATCAGAGTACAATTAGCATCTACAAATGAACCAAGTGCCAACTGCCAGGCAGAAACAGAAGCTAATTTACAGTGCGGGGCTGCCTGCTAGAACTGCACTTCTGGGGGCTGCCAGCATCTCATCATCCCAACAGCCTCTCTCTGTCCTTCCCACGCCCCAGCCACACCTGGCCTGCTGAAGGGAATTACAGCCAGGATACCTTCGCCTAGGACAGGAAAGTCCACAATGTCAAAAGTCACAGCGAAGGCAGCAAGAACTATCTGTGCTCTCTGAATTCCCACCTCGGGACCAGGGAAAGGGAGAAGCAGTAGAGCAGCATTCCCTCTAAACCAGGGGTGGGCAAACTATGGTCCAGGGGCGCATGCGGCTCTTCAGACACTTTATCCAGCCCTTGAGCACCCACCGGGGAGCAGGGTCCGGGGCTTGCCCCGCTCTGTTGCTCCAGTCGGGGAGCGGGGTCGGGGGCTTGCACCGCCCCGTGTGTACCGTGGCTCCACGCAGATCCTGGAAGTAGCGGCGTGTCCCCACCCCACCCCCAGCTCCTGTACATAGGGGAAGCCAAGGGGCTCCGCACGTTGCTCCCATCACGGCCAATGGGAGCTGCAGGGGCAGCGCCTGGAGATGGGGCAGCATGCAGAGTTGCCTGGCCGCGCCTCCGCATAGGAGCCAGAAGGGGGACATGCCCCTGCTTCTGGGAGCTGCTTGAGGTAAGCGCCGCACAGAGCCTTCCCCCCTCCTGCGCCCCAACCCTCCCGCCCCAGCCCTGATCCCCCACCTGCCATCTGAACCCCTTGATCCCAGCCCAAAGCACCCTCCTGAACCCCAAACCCGCATTCCCAGAGCCCGCACCCCCAGCTGGAGCCCTCACCCCCTCTCCCATACCCCAACCCTGTGCCCCAGCCTGGAGCCCCTTCCCGCACACTGAACTCCTCATTTCTGGACCCACCACAGAGTCCGCACCCCCAGCCGGAGCCCTCACCCCCTCCCACAGCCCAATTCCCAATTTCGTGAACATTCATGGCCCGCCATACAATTTCCATACCCAGATGTGGCCCTTGGGCCAAAAAGTTTGCCCACCCCTGTTCTAAATCCTGCTTCTAGCGGTAACTGTAGGACATTAATGTCTCCTCCCCACAGGGGCAATCATCATCCAAAACTTATTGGGTTCTGCGCTTGCTCTGAAAATCAGCTCTGCCGGGATTTGGACAATGCACGCTTTGGGTTACCGAGAAGGACGTGAGGAGTTGCATTCTGCAAGGTTAACGAGCAGAGCCACCCTTTGGTCCATGAAACATCCCCACCCTCACACTTGAGTGCTCAGCTGGGCCCGATGTCCTGCATGGGTCCCAAACCTATGACAAGATGGCAAATCATGATGCCCTCATCCCCACTGGACATTATAATGCTGCCGCACCTGCTTTGCCCCTAAAACCTTCTCTTGGCTCAGCTTTGCAGCCCCCCCAAACTCATCTTCCCATTTCACTCCCTGCTCTGCCATCGCCTCATGCTTCTCACTCTGCCACTGGGACACATTAAAGGGCTGGCCCAGGGGCATATTGCTCTGACACTTTGAACCTGCAAAGTGCCCACTTGCTGCTGGTATGAAGGCAGGGCTGCTGGGACAGTTTGTACAGTGGGGGAGCTGAGAGCCACTGAACCAAACTGTAAACCCTGGATATGATGGAAACCTCTTCAAGCCAGGGGGTGCGGCAGCCCCCCCAGCTCCTGCACCTATGGACGAAGGGGACTGAGATGAGGAGCTGGCCTAGTGGAAGCAGGGGATTTGAGAAGGTGACACAGAGCGAAGTTCCCGGCAGTAGACCACGGGGTTAGGCATTGTTACACTATTCCCCACATAGCCTGGGGCACTTACCTAGATTGGAAGAGGCTCTGCCCTCAGCGGCTCGGTCCTGCAGGCTCTCAGCAATGCCCAGCTGTTCCTCATGGTACTGCTTGGCCCTCTCCAGGTCTTGCATACACCTGGCAGCATGGCCCAGGCCAGCATAGGCCCGCATCTCAATGGCTTTCTCAGCCAGCTCCTGGGCCAGCTCCAGCACAGAATTGTGGTAGGACATGGCCTTGTCGAAGTTCCTCCGGTAGTGGTAGGCGCTGCCCAGGTTGCTATAGGCTCGCGCCTCCTCCCGCTTGTTCCCCAGCTCCTTGGCAATCTTCAGGTGCTGCTCGTGGCACTGCACCGCGTTCTCAAAGTCCCCCATAGCAATGTACACTGCCCCCATGTTCCCCAGCTCGCGGGCCTCCGAGAGCTCGTCTTTGGATTGCTTCGCAAGGAGGACACACTGCTTGTGACTAGCCAGTGCATTGGGGTAATCGCCAATGGCTGTATACACATGGCCCAGGCTGCTTAGAGCTGAGGAAGCTGCCTGTAAGACAAGAGAGAGAGGGTGAGAGTGAGAGCCTGTGGAAACAGAGTCAGGTCAAAGGGACACACAACATTCACCTGTTAGCCTCTAACAAACTCTTCCAGGGAGACTCCAGCTCTGCTTCCTGGAGGGTCCAGTGGAAACCTGGCTATCTGCACATGCAACACGATACTCAGGAGAAAAATCCCCAGCTGCCAAACGGGTCATGGGCTGTTTGTGACAATGAGGGGCTGCAGGGAGGGCACCCACGGGCTGGCAGGGAGAACTGGACTGGGATTCTCTGATTGAGGGACAATTCCTTCCCATCCCCTGAGAGACATAGTGGGGAAACCCCTGGCGCTGCAAAGCCCAGGGACTTTGGGATAATACAGAATGTGGGATCTGCAGGAACTTGGCAATATCAGGATCCATGAGGTGAGACGAGGCTGTGTGAGCTGCCTGAGAGAGCTCGGTTCCCACTCTGAAGGCAGCTGTATCTCAGCCCATCTCTCACTACTACTTTAACACCTACAGTCATGCCAGTTATCACAGCAAAGTCCTGTCCACAGGGATCTTGGGCAGACAGATATGTAATGGCATTTCTCTGCAGAGTAACGACTAATGAATCGCTTGCTTCTGTGCCACTTCCTGCACAATGAGCTCCCTTCCAACAGCAGCAGAGGTCTCAGGCGCTGAATAAGGAGCCTAAGAGGATGGTCTGTGAAACTGCAGCAGCATGCAGCTCAGACTGACCATGTTCACACTGCAGAGCTTCCCAATCCCTCTGCTTCCTGAGCCTGCAGAGATTCCTGCGCTAGATTCATGGCATCTGCTTCGGTAGATAGTCCTTAAAACATCTGCAGTGGGAATGCTGACCCATGCACAGGGGGCGATCAGACAGGGATACTGCACAGCTAAGCCAGCATGCTCAGGATCCCCAAGCCAGTCACGCTGTTTAGGGCAGAGATGTCACTCTCTTTGCTGCACTTTGGAGCTATGCCATTTGCTAATGGATCCCCAATGGTGGCCAAAGTTAGCAGGACAGCTTAGCTAAAGTGCAAGAGTTGGGCTTTCCCATACAGTGTGCAAGAAATACGTTTGTTCCAGAACAATCAACCTAGGAAATAGGTCTAGATGCCAAGGAAGGCCATGTGCCTGACTCAGCACTACTGACCATACATGTATATTCATCCTGGTGCCTGTGCCATCCCCAAGCCCTCTGGGCGCAGGAGAGCAGTACCCTGCAGCTGCTATTTCCCCCATGCCCCAAACTCCAAGTCCAAGTCCAACGATACCATACAAATAAACAGTGATCAGACTCTGCCCACCATTGAAAGCATCAATTTCCACCCACCCACCCCTCTTGCTCCTTGAAAGCCCTGGGGAGCAGAGGGGCTTTGCAGCTCGCCCAAAAAGTCAGCTGACTCGTGCTTCGTTGGAGCAACAGGGGAAGCGAGTTCCAGAGTGAAGTGTTCAGTATGGAGACACCCTGAGACTGGCAGCTCTAGCACTCAGCCCAGCTCAATTCCCAGAGCATGAGCAAGGGAGACAAGTGTCTCCTGGACCAAACTGTTCAAGTGGTTGTAGATTAAACCCTGTCCCTTGAATTGCACTGAGCATGGACTCACCCCAAGCAAGGTTAGGAGGAAAACCCTGATTCTTACATGTCCAAGGAGCATCATGGCGCCGAGTGTGTGCTGGGCTCTGTCCCCAGCCGCCCTGGAAACCTCTCCCACTCACCCCGCCAGCAGAGGCTGTTAGAACCTGCCATCCTCTCCCCATGGAAGCCATGTCTCCCCCAGCAGATACAGGCCTTTGCAAAGGCAGTTCCCTACCAGCCTGGGTGCCACTTGTCCTTGATCTACTGAGATCTTCCTTATTGTTCTCTCCAACTAGGGCCCTACCTCCAGCTTGGACACATCCCGCAGGCGAGAGGGTTCAATTTCAGTCTCTGCCAGGCCATTAACCCCTTCCTGGGCACCCCCATCACATGCACCCAGCTGTGAACACACAGCAGATGAGGCTTCCTCTCGAGCAGGAAATCTGGTTCAAATCCCCTCATCAAGAGCTGCACTAGACTGTTACTACTAGCTACAGTCTCACAGCAGCAACTCATCTTTCAGGGCTTTCAACAACCGAGGCCAGAGGAGCCTTCCTAATGATTATTTTTATTAAAATTATATCACATGTGGAAGAATAATGCAGTGGCAGGAAGATCTACGGGCCAGAGCGAAGGGCAGATAGTGCAGACGATAAATTACTTCCATGCTTAGCAACATTAATGGACTAATGTTTCCAAATCAAGGATTTGTAAATGTGCTGTGCTGATGCAAATTAACAGATTAAAAGAGAAACCAGTTTTTCTGATACAAGAATCTGAGGCAACAGATTAGCTATTAAACACAATTTATAGGTCATAAGATATGAACGCTGGCCAGAAAACACTACCTCGGCCAGCTCCATAAATAGCAAAGCTGCATTTGCTTTCCCTGAGGGATCCTTGTAGGCAGCTTAATTATATCATAAAAACTGCCAGAATTTACAGTGACTTCATTTTTTTCACTTGATGCTGTAGATGAACCTCATTCAGCACAATAGGCAGCAAATATCTGAGACCAGCAGAGTTGCAGCTGATGTTAAAAACGTTATGATTTCCCTGGCAAGGCTGATGCACACTCCTGGGATAGGAAGTCAGATGATGAAACCTTCCCCCTTTCCTCGGGGTCTCTGAAGTGCTCCTGTTAAGAGTCCTGAGGATTCCCCTTCCACCTCTCCTGAGTCTTAGCCTTGGGCCTGATCCGCTAGCCAAGGAGAACAGTATGGATGGGAATTCCTGCAGTCCAACACTAGGGGCACAGCTGAGGCAGGCTTTGGTACCGGTGCTGCCATCTAGGGTTCAATGCTCTCGATTCACGCTGTAAGGGAGGGAAAGTGACATTGCTTTTCTGCTGTAACTTGCCCCAGAATGGAAAGGGTAGCAGCTAGCAGCAATTCCCCTAACCTGCTCTTATTCACACCTCTGATACTGTGGAGGTGAGGAGACTGAATGAGCTGGCCTGGGCTGGAAGTTACACTTGGCCGTGGGACATGTTGCTCCAATCCACCCTCTCCAGCTAGTGTGCACCAGAACGAGTCTAAAAGACATGCTTTGGCAGGGGATTTGGGGCCTGACTGCACTCCTTCAAAAGTGGGTTCAAAAAGCGTTTACACTGTGCAGCAGGGAAGGCTGTTGAAAAAGGGAGAGACCATTTCTGTTGGGATCAGAAGGCTGGTGGGCTGCACCAATGCCCAGGCAGGACTGCTGGACGGACATGTTCTGCACAATGATAGGGCTTCTCTTCAGACATGAAGGCACCTGTCTCATGTGCAAAGGGAGTCTTGATAAAAAGGCAGTTACAATATTTGCTCAGAAAAATATTTTTTTATGGGGCACCCCACAGAATATTCCCGGCACTGGCTCCTGGCCCCATCTCTAACTTCTCCCCATGCTGGAAAGTTTTAGGCCATTACCAACAGTTTGTCATCCAGCTAGCTGAACATAAGATGAAAGGTCTCAGCAGAATATTAATGCATCTGGGAATGGACTTAGATTTGTTGGGAATGGAAGCCCCACAACTAAGTGAGAAAGTGCAGTACCTCATTACCCTGGAAATGACGGTGGGCTCCCAGACACTCTAACTGACAGGCTGGCGGAGCGCTGCATGCAGGGTTATCCGTCCAAGCAGAGCCCGTTTGTTTCCATACATTTAGCAGCAGCAACAAGCAGAGTTGGGAGGAGGCCTCATTCCATTCAAGTTAGTTTCACACCAGCTTGAAAGAGGTTTGGCTCTTTGGAAAGAGCTCTCAAGCAATTTAATGAAGTAACTATTTGGCAAACTCTAACAAGGCACTGCAGTTATTTGAGGGTGGGTCTGTCAGAGCCTGTTCTGAGGCGTCTACACAACTAGAGGTAGAAATCAGAATTTTTTGCTTTGTGAACTTTCATTAAAGTGAAAGTGGCTCAATGTTGTATCTAAATTCCCAGCCCAATGGTAAAACGTATGCACTTAGAAACCTTGTATATGCTCTATACAAAACAGTGTAAGGCCCTGCACAGGCTGTGACTCAATAAAATACACCTGGGCTCCCACCAGCTCTGGTGACATGTGACGTATCCATGACTGACCATGAGATGCTGGCAGCCTGTTCTGGACGTGGTTAAAGCCCAGTGCAGTGCAACCCCCCTGCACTACTAGCACGACAGCCTCAGTGAAGCCCAGGAACTAGGCAATTCTCTCAGTCCCTGAGCAGCCATGACACCAAACTGCAATGTCGCCAGAATCTCACGGTGCCACTCGGGAAAACTGACAATCATGTGGTGGGACAAGGAGAACCGGCCTCACAAGGGTTGTTGTGGACATTTGTTTGCACATTAGTCAGCGAGAAGAGCCATGGCCAGGTAGTATCGATCACAGCTGGGAACAGACTCAAACTGCCCCAAGTGCAGTAGCTGGGGAGAAGAGGCATGACAGGGTTAAGATGAATCTCAGCACTGCTGCAACTCCAGAGACCTCTCACATTGCACACTGAGAAGCAGCATTTAGAAAGTCCCCAGATCATTACCTCAGAGAGAGATTTGGGCTATTGCAGTGATTCATTCCCTGGGCTTGTCATCACTTAATCCAACATCATCCCCAGGCGCAGCAAGAAGAGCTAGCCTAAGTCCTATGTGGTTTGGACAAGGCTCTTGGGGCATGGTAGAAGGGGCCTGACTTGCCCCAGTGAATGCCCAGGGTTTAACTCTTCAGATAATGGAGGGGAAGAGCGGAGGAGGAGAGTCCTGGGGCGGGGAGGAAAAAAAGGAGGGAGAAATGGATGGAAGACTGGGAAGGGAAAGGATGGATTATGATCCTGTAACTTCCACAGATGTCTTTATTGCTAACTCAAGCGATTCCCTCATGCTCAGTGCAGAAGGGCGACCCCCTCACTCTCACTGCAGTGGTCGCACTGGGATAACTCCCCGTGTTTTATTCTGTTAAATG